AGTCATTTTAGATAAGATAAATCCCCGAGAACCTGATTCCCTTTGGTGTTCTTTAATGTAAATTCATTTTTATAATGGAAAAGCCAAGCAGAAAATGGATTTGTTTGCTTTGTGCTGTGGGCCATCAGACTTTTATCATTATAATACCGCTGATTTGGTGCATTTCTAAGCCTCAGTGGATCAGATTGGAAGCAGTACCCTAGCTGAAAGGCTTAATTTTGGAAGGAGAGCTACAGCCAGTATGAGCCGGGAGTTGGACCCTTGACATGGCTTTCAAGCTCTGGCCGGTTCTGAAATCCCGAGTTGAAAGCGCTAAAGCACAGAACCATGGTTTTCACCTGTAGGCCCTGGAGAGACGCCTTATTTTGATTGTTACCTTTCAGCCCCGAGTTTCCTGCAACTTGATACATCATGGCAGCTCCAGCAAAGTGCCACTTACCTGTCAAGAGCTGGTTCTGCCTTTGTGCCCTTGCACCTTGCCATTTGGAAGGAAACATTAAAAAACAAAAAACCAACCATGAATTACAGAAGCCAAGGTGAAGCAGGCAATTCATGAAATAGAATGTGGAAATGAAAGCCTTTTCTCATTTTTCAGCTAAAATAATAGGCAGCTCTTCGCAGACTAAGAAAAGTTGACTCTAATCATCTATTGTATAAAACCTTTTTTTTTTTTTTATCAGCAAAACCAGGAGTCGAAAAATGGACTCCTGGTGCCAATCTCGGTTGGCCTGTCAGTCGCTTGACAACCCACTTGTATTTCCAACATATAAAAATAAGTGTGAAACCTCCCCTGGATCTTACTTAACCAATGTCTAGGAAGCAGGAACAGAGAAAACGGGTGATTTCAAAGGCCCCAGCCTATGGCCGGCCAAACAAATGAGATCATTAATGGACCAGTGCTGTGTCTACCCCATGTGGAGGGGTTAGACTTAGTGTGGGGAATTTCGTTTTTAAATGAAACTATGTTCCCACATTAAAAATGCAGTAGACATCTATTGTGTCACGTCTATAAAATAGAAGTACTATAAGTGCGTAACATTTACTGACTGCTTCCTACGTGCCAGGCTCTGGGCTGCATGTGGATGAAGTCATTCAGTTCTCACAATCGGGATTCCAGCCCAGAGCCTGTACTTCTAAGGGCTACACATTCTGGTCCTGCCTTCCAATAGTGATATGACCTTGTCTGGCAAACCTAGGTTTCCTCATCTGTGAAATGGGGTGATAATAGTTCCTACCGCCTTCATGTTGCTGGGCTCCCGTGCGTCACCCCCGTGTTACAAAGTCGAGCTGCCCCCAGGGCTTTCTTGGCTATAATTTTCATGAAGCAGACACCCTGTCTGGGGAGGTTTGAACTGCCAACCTGTTGGTTGGGAGCTGAGTACTTAACCACTGTGCTAGCAGGGCTCCCTCCCAGGGCAGAGCCCCTAGGGCAGTGGTTCTCAACCTGTGGGTTGCAACCCCCTTGGGGGTCAAAAGACCCTTTCACAGGGGTCACCTAAAACCATCAGGAAACACAGATTTCCGATGGTCTCAGCAACTGAGACAGCGCTCCTCTCTCCGTCTCCAGGCGGGTCTGCCCACATGCAGATAGGCCCACCTACAAATACCCGGCGTGAAGACTGTTACCCATGCTACACCATGCTTCAGGACAAAATTTCATTTATTTGTCATTAGAAAGAAATATTTCACAATATAGACGTACATATTGTTTTGGTGATTAATCACTATGCTTTAATTATGTTCAATTTGTAACAAAGAAAATACATCCTGCATATCAGATATTTACATGACGATTCATAACAGTAGCAAAATGACAGTAATGAAGTAGCAATGAAAATAATTTTATGGTTGGGGGACAACACAACATGAGGAACTGTCTGAAAGGGTCTTGGCATTAGGAAGGTTGAGAACCACTGCCCTAGGGCTTTATGAACGGGCTTCAGGAAGGTAGTGAATTTAATGGTGTGTTAGTCCGGTAGACTAGAGAAACAAATCCAGAAACACTCATGTGTAAGAAAGAACTTTATATCAAAGAGCAATTATGCATTAAGAAAACAGCCCAGCCCAGTTCAAATCAAGTCCATAAGTCCGATGTTACCCCATATGTCAA